GGAGGGAGGGAGTGAGAGTGTGACCTGTATCATCCATGAGAGAGAGTGATGGGGGTAGACTTCCTGCGAGGTCTCTGAGGCCAGCAGGAGGAAGCAGTTGTCGTTCTCCTGCAGGAACAGACGTCACTGCCTCCTCCTCCTCCCCGCCTCCGCACGCACATGTACGTCCAGCTTCTTCCACTTCGCTCCGTCATCGACGCTGTCCGATCCCTCCAGGACCCATCCTGTCATGCAGCGGCCCTTCCCTCCTCCGTTGCGGAGCGTGTAGTAGGTGGGGCGGAGGAGGACGCCCTGGTCCTTGGGGTCGAGGTCGATGATAAACCATCCGTCGTTGAACGCGAACGTGTCGCACATCACCGATCGCTCTAGCACGTCGTCCTTGCTCGCCTGGATCTGCCGCACCCCGTTCATGGCCGACACCCCCTTCAGCCCGCAGATGATGCGGCACAACCCGCTCTTGGTCGGGTTCTGCCAGCTGCTCCTCCCCGCGGCCCCGAACCTGTAGAGGAGGCCGTTGGTGTCTCCGTTCATGAAGAACTGGAACTGGATGGACTGCATTACCCCGGAGGTCGTCTTCTTCACCGACCGCACGCTCCTCAGCTCCGCGTCCTTGAGCTCCATCTCCCTCGTCAGTGTCTTCACGTCTCTGTCCTTCTGCACCATCATCGCCCTCACTCCCTCCACCTCCCCTCGCAGCCGGTCGATCTCCCGCTCCCGCGAGAACTTCTGGTACTTGAGCCGGTCGACCTCCCGCTCGAGCTCCCCAGCCTCTCCTGCTTCTGCTTCTGCTGCTCCTCTGCCGTCTAACTTGAGGCTACTTGCTCGCTCCTTGATGTACGCCTTCCCCACAGGAACCAGTGCGTACTCCTTCTCTCCCGCCTGCTCGCCCTTGCTCAGCGGCTTCCTCGGCACCAGCTCCAGCCCGGTGGCTGCGGAGGGTCCAACCTTGTCCTCCTGCTCCCCATTTTCCCCTCCCTCCCCGTTGGCAACAGACCTGGAGGACAGGGAGAGGTTTCGCTGGCGCAGAGAGCGGCATTCCTCCTCTCGCTCGGCCAGCAGGGACCTCAGCTCGTCAAGGTTCTCCAGCACAGAGCTCAGCTGCTGCTTGCTCGTCACCCTGAGGGACTCCAACTGGGACTTGTGCTCCTCCATCTGGAGCTCCTTGTCCGCGATCTCCTCGTACAGCTGCTCGATCTGCTTCTCCTTCTCCACCAGCAGCTTCTTCGCCTCCTCCACGCTCCTCAGCGCCAGCGAGCTCTCCTCCTGCCCCGAGGAGACCAGGTCGGCGCTGATGTGTGTGGAGGTAGGGGGGACTTTTCTGTGCGGGGAGGAGGAGGAGGCCTTCAGCTCGAGCAGCTGCTCTTTCAGCGTCTTGTTCTCATTGATCGTCGCCTGCAGCTGCAGCTGCATCTGACTCTTCTCCTGCTGCATCCTGCTCAGGTGCTTCTCGAAGTTCGCTCGCTCCTCCTGGAGCCTCCGGTCTTGCCTCGCGAGCTCCTGCAACGACGAGGGGAAAGCAGCAAAGACGTCAGTGGGGCAGGGCAGGGCAGGGCAGGGCAGGGCAGACCTGCGGATCGTCTGCGTCTCTCTGCTTGTTGGCGATCGTTTGCTGCAAGGCGATCAAGTGACGTTCTTGCTCGATCTTGTCCTGCGTCAAGCTCTCCACCAGCTGCTCCAGCTGCCCGACCTTAGTCGAGAGCCGCTGGACCTCCTTCTCCTCCTGCCTCAACGACGACCTGCGCATGGGGGAAGGCGAGGAAGGAATCGGCTCCTCGGGCCCGATGTAGTCGGCGCGGGGAGGAGGAGGCAGCCCGTGCGAGGACTTGACGAGAGGCCTGAGGAGTTCGATGAACTCTTGAGCTGACCGGATTCGCTTCCTTGGGTCCTTCACCAGCGCCTGCTCGACCACGTTCTTCAAGGAGCTCGAGGCTCGACCGTTGGCGTGCTGGACAAGATCGCGCGGCTGCTTCGTCCTGATCTCATGCACGATCACCTCCAACGAGTCCCCGAGCTTGGCGAAGGGCAGAGTGCCTGCTCCCATAGTAAAATGAGTAGGGAGTAGGGAGGAGTGACTAGCGAGAGAAGGAGGAAGAGGAGGAAGAAGCGCAGGAGGAGGAGGACGCAGAGGGAGGCAGGACCTGTCAGGCAGTGGAAGATCATGACACCGACGGCCCACAGGTCAAGGTTGGAGGAGATCTTAGAGCCCGAGTAAGTCTGCTCGGGAGCGAAGTACATGGGAGTCCCGACGACGTTCTCGCCCGTCAGCAGCGACTCGTCGTCAAGCTGCTTCGCCAGCCCCAGGTCGATGAGCTTGACCTGATTTGTGAACCTGAAGGCCCTTTGAGAAGGAGGGAGAGAGGGAGGGAAAGGATGCTGAGGAGGAGCATGAGACGAGGAGAAGGTTGGGGCGGGGGGCTGTGGAGGAGGGGAAGGAGGGGAAAGGAGGAGGAGAGGAGGGGAAGAAGAAGAGGAGGGGAGAACGTTCTCAGCCTCACTTTGCGATCATGATGTTGGCTGGCTTCAGGTCGCGATGGACGATGCCTTGGGCATGACAAGCTTGCAGGGCCTGTAGGACCCCGATGGCCGTGAGGACGGTGAAGTCATGCTCCAGCTGCTTGTGCTTGTCGATGAGCTGCTGCAGGTCGCTGCGGGGACAGTCATCCCTCGAGCCCGCGGAGAGGGAGGGAAGGGAGGAGAAGCTACCTTCCATGGATGACCTCCATGGCAATGAAGAGCGTTCCGTCGACTTGCTCGGCAGCATCGAAGTAGTCGACGACGTTGGGATGCTTCACCTTTGACACCAGCAAGACCTCGCGGATGAATCGCTGCCGCTGCTCGCAGGTGGCCCCTCCCAGGAGGACCTTGAGGATTACTTCCCTGTAGAAGGCTCCGCACGTGCAGTCTTGAGCGAGGTAGACCACCGCCATCGCCCCTCCCTTGAGCTTCTTCAGCACTTTGTACCTCGTCTTGTACTCTCGAATCTCCCATCCGCTCCTGGGCATTCCATCCTCCTCTTCCCGGATCTGCGATATGCCATTCTTGGGGGTCCTTGCGGGGGAAAGGAAGTGAGTTTCGTCTCGCCGTTGCCCCTGCAAACAAGCATGCTCTCAGGCACACACCAGGACACCAGAAGGCATGACAGACCTCCCTCTCACTGCCTCTCGCCTTCTCTCGGCCAACACTGCATGACCAGAGCGTGAGTGGCGGCAACGACCAACGTTCACTTACTTGGTGTAGGAGGCATGAGACCTGATGGACGACATGGAGGACCCTCTGATGGACTCCAGCCCTGACTGTATCGAGCTTGAAGAGGAGAGATGGAAGGAGGGGGTTCCTCCCCCATGACGCTGAAACTGAGACATGCACAACTCGTCTACTTTAAGCTGCACAGATCAAGTCTTGGTTTTAGTGCTCAGCAGCGAGTAGCATCGAGATATCCTAGCGCTTCCTTAGCTTCAAGGAGTCCGCGTGACTGAGTCCCTCTTGAGTCAGCCAGCGGCCGCCGGGTCAGGCTACTAGGCTAGCCACTGCAGCCAGAGTCCACTGAGTCACCGTCATCTTGTGAAGGATCGGATGCTTCGGTGCCTGAGTCAGGCTAGTGATTGTACTGCTGAGAAAGTCTCAGCCCTCAGGCTCAGTCGATCCTCAGTCTCCTACTTGAGCCCTCACTCGCTTCACAGTCTCCTCTCCCCGCCTCCAGCCTCCGCCATCGCCACTGTCACCGGACGGTCAATCTTTTGAAAATCCACCCACTAAAATAGATTTAATCCAGTCACTGAGTAAACTCCTCTAGTTAAGGTCCCGGGTCGGGGTCCGGGCCCGGTCGAGTTCAGGGGCCACGGGGCGGGCTCGGGCGGTAATGGATACTAACGGATACCTGGGCGGATACTATCCGTAGCTGAAATAGACATGGTGGCGGCGGCAAAGGCAGCGATGTGTCGGAGAGGGGAACGAGATACGGGACGAGACAGACGAGAGAGGAGGAGGGAGGGATCATGAAGGATGTAGATGTTTCCTTGAAACTTTGGTGGTCACTGTGAATTACGGTGTTGATGTCTGACTGAGACCTGAGTTGGTCCAAATCTGTCCTCAGAGAGAGAGGGAGAGGGGAAGGAGGGAGAGATGGATGGATGGAGGGATGGATGGAGGGATGGATGGAGGGATGGAGGGATGGAGGGATGGATGGATGGATGGATGGATGGATGGAGGGAGGGAGGGAGGGAGGGAGGGAGGGAGAGAGAGATCAGAAAACCATGAGTGTCTTCCTGTCCTGTCATGACCTTTGGTGTAAGAATTCCTGTGATCATTGCAGCATACGCTCCCCCTCCCAACTCCTCCCTTTACCATGTGGGACATGTCTGGCCCGTTCATTCTCGTTCGTGTTGGTCTGGTTGGCACTGACAACTTGCGTTTGACTTGTAGATGTTTGCTGACGTTCGTCAATACGTGGAATTGGCCACATCCAGTGGACTGGATGCATGGGCAGAAGAGTACCTCGGTCATGGAAAGGTACAGTCGGACGCCTGGACGACTGAGTACCTCGGGCAAGATCTGAATCAAAAGTATCCCACAGCCTCGCAGTTTCAGTTCGTCTGCAGTGTGTCGAGCACAGGCGTGGTCAACTGCCCTACTGGATAGATCGGAACAAGTTGAGAGCACAAGGCGCAGGGAAAGAATCGAGGGACCGAGTATGCAGCAGCGTCACCTCGATTGTAAGGAGTATATTTAAATGTAAACGATGTCTGCATACCAGTATGACAAACTTCACCCTCGTCGCCCCAAGGACTGGTCATTGCCCCTGCAAAGTTAAATCTGAACCTCAACTTGTAAGTATGAGTGCTGCTTAGTAGCTCTGGTTGCTCGCGGATCCCGTGGAGCACATGGGGCACTGAAGGCCAGCATCAACTCCGTTCTTAGTCTGGGGCAGGAGGGAGGACCATCCCGGGGCCCTGTCGACGTGGATCGCTCCGTTCTAGCAGAGGAAGCATGTCACCGACAGGGAACTAGAGCACATCGCGACCTACCAGGTTAGGGATCGCTGATAGGATGGCATGATGTCCGGGAGTGGCCTTGTGCTCCCACCAAGCCTTTCCGGAGTTGTCACCGGTCTGAAGCCAAGCGTTCTTCGAGAATTCAGAGCCTTCCTGTTCGCACGTCAACACTCCAGTTATGATGGAAAACTACTTCCAACATGCAAACGAGGCCGCAGCAAACAAAGGATACGATTCGTGAATGGGTTGGTAAAGAAGATCCAACGGGATACATGAAAACAACAGTACAATAAAAAAAATGCAAAAAAAAAAAATGCCAACTAGCAATCACATCACATCTGACAATGATGATGTCGAGTGAAAGTGATAATTTCAACGAGAGCTTGTGCTGTACTACCTCAAATATCTAACTTGCTGTCCTAACAATCATTTCATTCAAGGAAAAATTCTTGATTGATCCATCAATGCAGCTGCTTACCGAGACGTTTCCCCCCATGTCCACTAACTTCATAGTTGCTGGTCTCACAACCCTACCCGTGCTCATCTGCTGTCGTTACACATCTCCTCAAAGAGTTTGTATGATATCTATCTCACTCATTCATCTAGTTTTTGCATCTTCGACATTCTGCACTATCAGGACCACAAGCTGCTTCACACTGAAAATGACACGAGCATCCTGGTGATTCGTTTTCTGCTGCCTCCTCAACTGCAGTGGAAGTAGAGAGGATCGCACGTATTGATCGAGGATGTTGTCCTTATCAGTATCGGTTCATGTCGTGTTACATTCTCTCCATCTCATCCTCCTCCTCTGCTCCATGTCCACATGACTGTTACCTTGAACATGGCGGCGCGTTGAGATTGGAACGCCTCTGTGTGATCAAGACCGTAGTAAGATCACCGGTACTTTCTATACTGAAGTACCCCCACTTTCCCTCCTCAAAGTTGCACCCTGTTTTTTTAAAGGATCTGGGGTATCCGGTACAAATTTCTAGTACTGACGACCAAAAAAGAAAACTCTTACCCCGTCGTTCTACGCTATATGAGCTATTTCCGGCGCCCCTGACCCCTGGTTTGAGATCATTGGAAAGAAACCTCAAGTATCTTTAGAAAATTTGAAATAAAATATCTCAGAATTTGAATTATTTCATCCAAATTTTTAATGATTTTTAACATTTTTTTTTTTGGGTATTTTGAAGTTCAGAAACTTTCAGACAAACTTTTCTATTCCTAAGTTTTCAAACATCTATCAAAGTTTCAAAACTTTTTCAACCGCCCAGGAATGCAGCGTCCTGATGAGGGAGGAAGGGAAGGGGATGGGGATGGAGAGGATGGAGGAGGAGGAGGGGATGCAGGACGCGATAGGGAAGTAGATACATCAGCATCAGCAGCATCAGCTGCAGGATCGGCATCAGCAGCATCAGCTCCTTCTCAAGTGCAAGAACCGAATGTCTCTTCCCCTATGGAACAAGGAGGGGGCAGCGGGCACATGGAGGAGGATGGAAGGAATGGCGTAGAAGGTGAGGATATAATAGGCGTTTGACCTCACGAGCTCATGTTGATCGTCTTCTTTTTCTCGTCTTCCCCAGAAGGGGCGGAGCAGGATGGAGGCAAGAAGGAGCAATGGCAAGCTTGGAGCGGACAGGGTCACACTCTGGGGAGCACAGGGAGGTCTGCTGTGGTGATCAACAGCAGCAAGGAAGCAGAGGCGAAGCTGCGAGCCATGGCGGCAGCTGAGCGGCGGCTCGGCCACTCCAGAACCTCGTGAGCGTCTGCATGCGCGTGGCCTTGTTAGAGTAGCTGACGGAGGGCAGGTGGGAGGAAGAGGAGCGTCAGGCGGCGCTGCAGCACCTGCAGATGGACCGAGAGAGGAAGACGAGACTGGCTGCAGCGGCTGAAAGGCGAATGCAGGAGGGATCGTTGAGAGGAAGAGCGATCAGGTGATCTTGCGTCCGGTGTACTTGACGGCTCATGTTCTCGCAGGCCCACCATGCAAGTTCCGCAAGCAAGCAAAGGACCTCCTGGGAGGAGAAGCACGTACGAAGACGTGCAAGGAATGGAGTTTGAGGAGGAGGATGGGAGATACGAGTTCTTGAGACCGATGCGATACGATGGCCCGAGCAGAACGTGGGGGAGGGAGGCGGAGGAGGCGGAGGAGGCGGAGGAGGCGACGTTCAGTCCAGATTCGTTGACGAGGATCAGTCAAGTTGCCTCCATGATCAACAAGATGGATTTCACATTGGGATCCACACAGTCGCAACCTCTTCCTATCTTCTCTACAGGTGAACAGCGGACTCCTGCTCCTCTTCTTCCTTCTCCTCGTCTCTTGTCTCGTCGTGCTGTTCCCTCCCCCCTAGCAGTCAACTCAGCCTCCTCAGCCTCCTTCACGCTGACTTCCTCTCTCAGCTTACTCTGGTTTGGACTCGAGGATTGATCCAACTGTGTCAAGAGCGCGGGGTCACGATGATGCTGATGATGCTGATGATGCTGCCCTTGCTCGCGCTCGTCGCCTCCTCGCAGCCGCCAAGACGAGCATGCCTGGTTTGTTCACAGAAGGCGAGACAGCGGCAGCCGGGAGGAACAGCCTGCATGACATGACGGAGGAGGAGGAGGAGGACTTCCTCAGCAGAATCCGTCAGACAGCCAGGAGCATCTTGAACGTGCAGGAGGAGAATCTTGAGCAGACCGAGGATTTCAGCGAGGGCATCCCGCCCTTCACGTCAGAGTCGATCTCTTCTCCATTTAGGATGGAGCGGGAGCGGGAGCAAGAGAGGGAGAGGGAGAGGGAGAGGGAGAGGGAGAGGGAGAGGGAGAGGGAGAGGGAGAGGGAGAGGGAGAGGGAGGAGCGGGTTCTGGTGAGCAGGAAAACGGAGGAGGTTGGAATTCAGGCAGACGTCGAGCGAGAGATTTCCAGCCCAGCTGCAAAGACCTGGCACTCGCACAAGGCACTGCATGTCAATGTTTCGGAGCTGAGGCTGCGAAGGAGGATCGCCAGAGGAGAGGAGGAGGAGGAGGAGGAGGACGAGGAGGAGGAGGGTTCCTGCAGCTACTACCTCAAGCTGGAGCTGGCGGGCTCGAAGGCCAGGACTGCTTCCCAGCTGGCTCGAGGAGGAGAAGTGAGCTGGTCGGAGGACTTCCAGTTTCACCTGCCGTCGGACGCCTCCAAGTTGGCGCTGCAGGGGAAGGTGGTGAAGGTGAAGCAGTACGACTCCAGGTCATACCCAGTTGACATCCTGCTGGGCTCTTGCTCGCTCCCTCTCCCTCCCCTCCTCCACGGTCAACCCCAGCTGGTGTGGACCTGGGCGCAGCTGGACTCGGTCCCCCCCGAGAGGGGCAGGGAGCTGCACGTGGCGCTGGAGGTGACGGCAAGCCGCATGTTCCGGACGCACACGGAGAAGCCTAGAGGAGGGCGAGAGGAGGCGGCAAGCGCGGGAGGAGGAGGAGGGAGGGAGCGGCAGTCGCCTCTGCGTCCCAGCGGTCGGAGGAAGGAGTTGAGCAGCTGGGCCACGATCAACGAGGAGGCAGGGAGACTGCAGCGCGCATGGAGGAGCCACCTGGCAAGGAAGATGTTGAGGAGGAGGAGGGAGGTGAGAAAGCGGCTGGGGAGGAGCGAAGAGCCGGCGGAGACGATCTCAGACGCGCTCAGCAAGCTCAAGAAAAAGACAGCTGGCGGGCGGTCGATCTTGGGGGAGGAGAAGAGCGGGCACTGCCGAGACCGGAGGCAGCACTAAGATATGCGTTGAGCGATGATCTGCGGGAGCATCGAGGAGGAGGAGGAGGAGGAGGAGGAGGAGGAGGAGGAGGAGGAGGAGGAGGAGGAGGAGGAGGAGGAGGAGGAGGAGGAGGAGGAC